ATATATAGTGAGAATACCCAAAGCATATGTGCAGTTTCAATTTCCACAAGGTGAAAATGTAGTTGTGGCCGGATCCAGCACAGAACATGGCAGCCCTGACCCCTTGTGTCCCCTCCCAGCCATGACCCTGACTTCTGGCACCACAGAGACAGCTTGGCCTGCGTGGCTTTCTATGTGAAGGGAACATACAGTACATGCTCTCCGCTTGTTTTTCCTGGCTCCTTTGACTTACTGTTTGTGAGATTACGTGTGTCGCTGGGGGCAGTTGTTGGTGCATGTCTTCATTGTGTGCAGATTCCATTCTGTAACTCCATGTCCATTTTTCACCCCTCCTGCCCTTCACGAGTGTCTCAGTTTCTGGCTTTTGACCATTATCCTGCGCACCACCCCCTCCACCCAGCCCCTGGGAACCATTAGTCTGCTTTAGTCTCTATGCGTTTACCTGTTGGAGATACTTCATGCAAACGGGGTCATACAGCTCTGTCCTTTTATGACTGCGTGTTTCACTCACCATCACATCTTAGAGGTGCATCCATGTTGTAGTATGCAGTAGGACTTTGGGCCTTTTTTTTTTTTCATTTTTGCTGTGTTTCCTCCCCTCCTGTCCCTGGTAAGGACTTTGTTCCTTTTAATGGCTGAATAATATTCTGTTGTCTGGATAGAACACATTTTGTGTATCCATTCATCCCTTGATGGACGACTGGCTTGTTTGGCCCTATTGACTATTGTGAATGGTGCTGCCGTGAACACTGGTATATTTGCTTGGGTCCCTGCTTTACAGACCCCTCTTGGGTCTGTACCTGGGTGAATTCCTGGGTCCCAGGAACATTCTTGTACATGTCTTTTGGTGCACATATGTCTGCGTTTCTGTGGCATTTTATCTGGAGATAAGAAATACGCATACCTTTTTCTTTCTGGGCCTTGAAAATACCTTGGACCAGAGAACTCTGGCATATCAAACCTCACTGCTACTTCGTGGAGACCTCAGACGTACCTGACAGTCTCTTTATCATATCTGTAATGATCCTCGGCAATTACCTGTGGTTAGATATGCCATAAAGCTATAAATTCATTACCACTTATTGCCTGGGCGAGTCTCTCTGAGCCTGTCTGAAAATAAAGTAGAATGAAGCATACGTGCAGACTATTAAAAAGCAGCACGCCAGCTTAGCGTCTGAAGCGAGGCAGGCGTTGGCCAGTTGGGCCAGCCCACCTCATTCTCTTCCGGGGGTTGGAGGTACGATGAGGCTTGTCTGAGGTTCGGCACCTTCCAGACCCTGACTTGGTGGCTACCTCCTTTACTGAGGGTCTCCAGAGTTCCATCATCTGCAAAAATGGGGTCCTCACATTTGCCCCATTTAGATCCTTTCAAAGTGGAGGTGGGAGGGTAGGACATGGGGTTTTTCAGAATGTGGGATATTGTGCCCAGGGGGCACTAGGGAAGACCTCAAAGGGATCAAGGAAGAAAGTGGCCTTTGGCAGTGACAGCACTGCCCTTCAGTCTCTGTCCCTGCAGGTCATCTCCAGGAAAGAGTCTCTGCTGGGGCTGAGAGGACCGGGAAGCCTTCCTGACACTCATCCGTCTCCCTTTTTTAGCAGAGAAGAGCAGGTCTCAGGGCAAAGCCTTGGGCAGGCATGCAGTCACAGCACGATAGCATCTACTGAGAACTGACAACATCCTATGGTTTCCGTTGTGTTTATTCATGGTTACTTTCTAATCGTGCCAAGTGTTGCCACGTATGGTAGTGACGTCATCAACCGACCCGTTGGTGGAGGGTGGACGCCAACTCACGCCGACCCCGTGTGCAGTCAGAGAACTGCGCTCCGTGGGTGTCAGCGCCTGGTCACCAGGTCTTTCTTCTGAGGGACCCATGGGTGCTCTCAAACCACCAGCCCTTCGGTTAGCAGCTGAGCATGGTAACCTTTGGCGCCATTCAGGATTCCAGTGATATGGAGCTCCCTTTTAAAACGGTTATTTAAGTAAAATGGAGAAAAATATTATGCAATATGGCGGGGTATCTGGAGATGTCAACTTCGAGGAGGTCCCACTGGCTAGGAAACAAGTGATGTTTGAGAAACATTAGGGGGACGGGGGTAAAAGGACGCTGAGAGAAATAAAGTCCGATGGTAGTAAAGTCCCAGCTCCTCCTCCAGACCCGTGCGTGGCTGGGCTAAGAAAAGCAGGAAGGCCGTCTAGACGCTCAGGCCCTCAGGTGCGCATCAACCTGCGTGCCTCTTGCCTGGTCGGCAGCAAAGGGGCTGGTAGTTGAAGATGAGTTTTCTGTTTCTTTTCTCTTTTCCTTAGTAATACTTTGTCGTGCTTTCAGTGAAGGTTTGTGTAGCAGTTGAGGATCTCGTTTAACAATGTCTGCACAAGTTGCTCGGTGACAGGGTCGACGTTCTTCACAGCATGCGAATGTTCTCACGGTTTCTGTTCTGGATCTTCCGGGGTCTTCCGTTTCCAGTTCCCTAGCGTCCTGCCCTTTCACACTCTCACCTTTGTTCTGAAGCCACTGTTGCCCGTTTGGTCTCATGGAGGTGAGTTTTAAAGGCGTGCAGCGCGCATAGGCACTATTCTTTACTTTGTGAACCAACTTGTTAGTTAGGTACGAGGTGACCTTGGGGACAAGCTTTGATTCCAAGTTTAAAAAGTATCTCAAGACAATAGTTGTTCTTTTTAAATTGAAGTGAAATTCATCCAGCATAAAATCAATCACTGTCAAGTGAACACTCAGTGGTATTTAGTGCGTGTTGGGTGACCGTCTGCATTTATCTAGTTCCAGAACTTTCTCGTCACCCCAGAAGGAAACCCTGTGCCCGTTAGCAGTCACTCCTCACTCCCTTCCTTCCCTGGGCTCCTGACAGCTACCAGTCTGTGTTCTCTGCCCATGGGTGCCCTTCTGGATCCTTGGGAGTCTTTGGAGACAGGCTTTCTTTTCCTTGCAAACTCCGCGCTCATCGGCCAGGCGCGCTTTGCCCACGAGCGCCCTAGGTGATGTGGCTTGTTGCCTCGTTTGGCTGGCTGATGGAGATGGTTCAGCCTCCTATTTCAGTGTGTAGATTTGTGACTCACAGAGGCTGTGTCAGTCCCTGACCACACAGGCTGCAGACCAGTTGTGGGCGAGAAGTGAGGCAGGGGTGTCCTTTCCCCACCTGGCCCCAGGTGCCACACCTGAGCATCTCTTGTTGCTGCTGTGCTGTCGGGCTGCTGGTCGTAGTGCTCAGGACGCCACCCCCAACCTGCCATTGAGATCCACCTGCCTCTTTCCGGTCCTCCCTCAGCTCCCATAACGCCCCTAAGCCCCTTCCGTTCTGTCTGCGTCCTGCTTTGCCTGCCTCCTGGCCTTTGCTTCTTCCATCCTTTCCGCCTGGAAGGCCACCCCTGACCACCTCTTCCTGACACCCTTTCGCGTCTGTCTTCTTGATCCAAGCCCCAGAACCAACCACTGCCTCCCCATCCCTACAGCACCGAGCTGGTCCCTGCTGTGTCCCGGGTGCTGGCTTCTCTTGGACTCTCAGTAGAGATTTACAGACTGAGTGAAGGAGTTCACCCCCTCTGGCTGCTGGTACGACTGGTGTTTGCTTGGCAGGCGGTGGTCCCATTTCACTGTCTGGAGCTCCCCCTTGGACACACCCATGCCCTGTCCTGTTCTGACACCCCGTCTTACTCCTCTGCCTCCAGGTGCACCCCTGTTTCTCTCCCATCCTCACTTCTACAACGCAGACCTGGTCTTGGCTGAGGCGGTGCTTGGCCTCCACCCGAACCAACAAGAGCATTCCTTGTTCCTGGACGTGCACCCGGTGAGTGCTGCGTGCGGCTGTTTCTCATTGTCCTGCGCGGGCCCCCCATCTCCCCAGGCACGGAGCTGGTCCAGAGCTGGGTGACCGGAAGCCTGGCTCTCTTTGGCGTTGTAGCCTCTAGACCACCGAGCCATCCAGGTACCCTACTTTACCCTGACTCCACAGTTCAAAGATTTTTATCATTTTATAAGGGAATTGGCTCCATAAAAGGACTGTAAATCAGTTAGGAATTATGAACCTGGCTCCTGCAAGTTAGCCAGGGGCCGCCCTCTGGCGGAGAGGTCTTTGGCTATCGATAGAGGCCTGGGGCATCTGGAGATAAATTCTTTTGGAGGAATTGCTCTGTGTGAAGTTTTAACTCCTTGAGGGACTAGGAAGGTTAGACCCTGCATGGGACCCACCCAGTGGACATGGCTCTAGCCAGTCCCCCCTGCGCCTGTGTTCCCTGTAAAGTGCAACCAGTCTGACCCTGTGGGTACGTCCATTGATCAGATATCCTGTTTGCTAAGTGGACTCTCTTGGGCCACCCACAGTTCTGTTTCAATGCCTGATGCTGCCCCACACCATTTTTTTTGTTCTCCCGGACTTCCTTAGTGCTGACCACACCCCGGCCCTTCTGTCCTTTGAGTTCATTTCTTTCCCTGCCTCTCTGTCTGCTGGCTTCTGGGGACTCTCGTCCCTCCTCTTACCAGGGCTAATGTCAGGGCGTGCCTTTCCTCTGGTCCCTGTGTGTCCGAGTGGAGTCTTCGGTCGGAAGCCAGAGGGATGCAGACAGCTGTTTAACAGCTGCCTCCTCAGCAGGCCCTCCCGCTTCTCTGCTTTCAGGCCGGTTCCCAGCAGGCGGGCAGAGGATGTGGCTTTTGGTTTTTCTGCTCCACGTGTGAGCACTAGGGAAGGGTGGTCGTGGCAGCGGTTGGCAGGGTGACAACGGGATGCCTGCCCGAAGCGGCTTCCGTGCTGCTTTTCTGATCACCAAGCTGCGCAGGGTAACAAGAGAGGCAGTTAGTGCATGTTTCTGTTCTCTGAGGCGTGGCCACGAAGTGGGGCCTGAGGACAGTGGGAGGAACGACCAGGGAGGGATCGAAACAGACTTCTTGTAGAAGGAAGTGGCCCAAGCAGAGACCCCAGAACAAGGCGTGTAGCTCTGGGGAGGGGTGGCAGGTCGTGCTGGGTCCCTACGAGCACCCCCGAGTCTGATAATTCTCTAGGGGGACTCCCAGGACAGAGCATAAGAGTGGTCTCATGGTGAGACTCATTTCAGGGAAACCGAACAGTCAGCAAAGGGAAAAGGTGCATGGGGCCAAGTCGAGAGGAAACCAGGCGTGAGAGTCCAGGGCCCTCTCCCCATGGAGTCACATGGGACACGCTTAACTCCGCAGCAATGAGTGTGGCAACACGTGTGAAGTGTTGTCTGCCAGGGAGGCCCATTAGACTTGGCACCCAGGGTTTTTATGGGGGCTGGTCATGCAGGTACCCTCTGCCTGGGACGTACCAAAATTCTAGACTGCCCAGAGGAAAGCAGGGTCCAGCCATCAGCCACACTGTTTGCACAAACTGTCTGGGCATCATGACCTGCTCTGACTATTCAGGGGATGGTGGGACACTTCGAGGCCAGTCCCCTCACTGCATCTGTTACCACAGGTCACTGGGATCCCCATGAACTGCTCTGTGAAGCTGCAGCTGAGCCTGTACATTAAGGCCATCAAGGGCATTGGGTGAGTGGCACCTTGGAGCTGGAGCTATGACACTCATTGAGAGTTCAGGGTTTTGGGACTTCTCGTGGCCAAGACTCCCGCTGTGACTTTTGTTGTACATATGAAGCTGCTCCGGGGAGGGCTCTGGGGACCAGTGGGCAGGCCTAGAGGTTTGACACCAGGTTCTAACTCTGGTGCCCATGGTCACTTGACACCGGGTCCGCCAACTCAGATGCCACCCTGGCTGGACAGGTGATGTAACTTAGGAAAGGGAGCCAGG